TTATAAACTTTCATCGGAGACAACTGGGATTCACTGATAATCCGCCATTATTGGTAAATGGGGCCGAACTGACTATTTCCCGCATCGGCCTTTATCCTCCGGTCCGGACACGCCGCCAGCGTTTGAGAGCAGAGGATACCGCCCATTTTTTCAAGATTTTGATCACTTATTTTATTTACTTGGCGGATTTTTTCATTATTCAAATTTGGATGAGTGGTTAATAATACATATTTCTGTGGTGTGACAGACTCAGAACTAGGGCTGCACGATATATCGAAAATATCGAAATATTGCAAATGTAAATATCGCGATATGCATATCACAACTGCATGCCATATATCTCTATCATTTTAATAATAGACTACTTAAATCAAAATGTTCAAAAGTTTTAGTTCGACGCATAAAGCAGAGAATTGCTTGACGTTAAAAGAGTTAAGTGCAATAAGTTGCAGAAAACAACTCTTTGTCGTCTGGTCTTGCTGTCTGACAGACTCCCACCTGAAGCGCGCGCACAAGCCGCATCTCGCACAGCGTATCTTCCGTTCTGCCGCACACGTGCAAAGCGCGCACACACACTGAGAGACGCGTTTCAGACGGCGCGCGAACACCGAGGTGATTTCTTTCGCATCTCCTCCTCCTTATGTTTGAACGGACACATACACACAGAATTATGTCAATAGTACCCGTCTCGACGATCATTCTCGTAAACGCAGTCAGTAAACAGCTGAGAAAGAAATCGGATGTGCATCATTATACTGGATCCGGGCAGTCGGTTTTAAAGGGACAGCAGCCTATAAATGCGTGCTGCTGAATATGTCATTAATGTTAATCAAACAACAACAAAACAGCTATAACAAAGATTAATCTAAATTTAATTAATACAGTGAACACAATGCAGTGTTATTTTACACTTAATTATAAAATTTCTGTACCTGAATACTACTGTTTATTTGATCTATGCTTGTAAATTGTGTATTTGTTCTTTTTCCCCCCTTTTGCTTTCTTTTTTTTTTACTGACTGTTCACTTGCCTTTAATCATGTTTGAACTTTCTCAGACTACAGTTTTTGCTGTGGTATATGAAGAAGTACTTAAAGTGTATGGAAAGCAAAGTCACAATGATACAAAATTAGTGATATACATTTTTTTGTCATTCACATTGATGTTAAAATTACATTTTCTGAATTGTGACATTACTTTTTATGTACTGCTAAAACACTGCTGTTACTTTCAGAAGTTGTAGTGATTCTTTCTTTTCCAAGAAAGAATGTGAAACAAATTGGTTATATAATTTTCATTTTTAAATATTTTAAAATATAATTTAAATAGATTTTTCACACTTTAAGCAATATCGTATCGCATATCAAATTTTTTAACAAGGTATCGCGCATCACATTTTTTTTCAATATCGCACAGCCCTACTCAGAACACATATTTAATATTGCCTTTACAGGGACTTTAAGTGTTTACGCTTTGCTTATTTGACATTAATGCATTATATAAGTCACTTTGGAATATAAATCATAACATTTCAGAAGATAAAAACGGGAATTGCAGTCCAGAAAATACGGTATAGCAAATTATTTTGCGGACCCCCTGGCTTTGCGTCATGGACCCTAGTTTGAAAACCCCCGGACTAAAGAACAGTTTTGTGCTCATAATGTAAGTCAGTAGGGTCCAAAGAACACTGGACCCCATTGACTTTCATTGTATGGACCAAAAGAAAATCGTACAGGTTTGGAAAAGCATGACAATGAGTAAATAATGACACCATTTTCATTTCTGGGTGAACTCTCTTTAGCCGAACACACTAAAGCCATGAAACAAATGAGGATGGAGTCTGCAGAGCCTTTATACAGCATTCAACACTTGTCAGCAGGTGTCACACACTGTGTACATACGCTGCCACTCACCAATATTCTCATCTGCCTCATAGTTGATGAAGCCGTTGGAGTCTCTTTTCCCTGTGTGAGACACTCTGAAGAGAAGAGAATAGGATTTGACCATGTGACTGTTACTGGGCTCAAACTCATTGCTGGACACCAGCAGGGAAGGGAAGGCACCAGACTTGGTTTGGCTGAGATCCGGGTTCAAAGGCACCTGCTTTTTCCCCGTAGGCACTTGCTTTATAGGGCAGCTGACATCCTAAGGGAGCAAAATGACCATCATTACAAAAAGAATGAGCAGCATACTTTAATTGTTTTATCCACTTGTATGTTTTAAGGGACAGCTCACCCAAAAATTAACATTTACTTACCGACATGCCGCTCTAAACCAAAAATATCACATTTATATAAAATACAATTAAAGCGGAGCTCACCTTGCGCTTTTTATGACAGACTTTGACAAGTAGCACCTCAAGTGAAACTGAGTTTTTATCCTTTTCTGAGTTTTGACATGGCTTATCTGGTTAAAGAACAAAATTATATCAGAACCCTAAAATAATGGTTAGATATTAATATGATAATTCAGATGGATTGGTGCTGTACACTTCAGGCAAATTTAGACTCACCATTTTTGTGAAAAAATCCAGTGAATGTCAGTTGCAGATGTGAAGTCAAACTGAAATCACAAATGAAACATTACTAAAAATCACCATTTGGAACCAAATGATCCTATCACATTTTCGTATAACACAACTGGAAACCACACAGTTACTCATTTTAAAACGGTCAATCTGAAAACAGTGGGTCAAAACCATCTCTATCTAGCAATTTAATAGACTACACAACTTTTGGCCAGATTTTTGCCCCACTTTGCTTACTAGAAGAGTTGCCAAAAATCAGAACTATTCTGCAAATTTTGGGCAATTGGAGTTGACAGATTGCACAGGAAGTTGCATAATATATGATGGGCACAGACTTATTTAGCTTTAGACTATGATTCGATTCAGTCGGAGGTTATCAAATATTTTGAGACTATTTTATGAAAAATATTGTTTTCATTTGTCATGTGTCTCCTAGCAACGAGGCACATATTTCTTCATCAGTTTGTTGTGTCGGGAACAACTTGAAAGTCTGGTAGTGTATGATCCTCAGTAGTTTAGTGTATAATGCCCAGTTTTTCCTCTGTAACCATTTACAAAGTCGGCAAGTGTATGCTGCCTATTGCTTGAAAATCTATTCAAATATTAAAAGTCGTGTAGTGTATTCCAACCTTTAGGCTCATATCTGTGTAAGAACACAGCATGCAAAACATCTGTAGAAGACCAGTAGGCCTACCTCTCAGACTCCGGCTCTTCTTTCATTCTCTCCACATTGGACAGCAAATCATCCACTTTAAATGTTTTCCTGAAGAAAAACGCCCGTTTATTTAATAAGCACATTGTAAGCAAAGCAAAGCAGATTTTCAGATAACAATTATTAGAACATAGAGAAGACCTACCTTTTGGCATTTGTTCGTGAGTTTCTATGAGACATAAAAGTGAGGGTCCTATTAAGTAATATCGGCTGTGAAAAAGCAAGAAAAAAAGCTAAAACCAAGTACAACCAGACCAGATGTTAATATAAATTTGGTGTTAAGCCTTTTGATTCATTTATAAAGCTATACTTACAGTTATTAGGTTCCTTGTTCGTAGGAATCTGTATATTTGAGTAGGCTCTGAATACAAAATTCATAAGTATTAACAAAAACATACTATTTTAAAGCTTCGAAGTGAAAGCAACTTCTATCTGTCGCTTTTAAACCCTTCATATGCAATAAACTAGAGGGTTTTAAGTAACTTTCTGCTAAATTAGTTATTACTTAGAGATAGTAATAAAAACCAGCATCATGTTAAAAACAGCTATAAGACATTACAAAGCTAAATCCAAGGACTCCTCCACATATCTAACGGCAGTAAGAGCAGACCAGAGAACATTGTCATGATAAAGATTTGTGACAGATGTGTGTTAATATATTCTCCCAAAGGCAAGATCTATTTTACTTGGTGTTCCTAAATGAGACAGACAGACTCACTTTCAAAGGCCTGCAGGAAGAGCTCGTGGTCGGCCTGCAGCTGCTCCATCTTGGGCTTCTTTATGGAGCTCAAGCCAGAGGATGGGTATTCAGCACCATTGGCTTTACAGTTCATCACCTGAGCTGAGTATTTCTGAGGAGCCATTATAAACTAACAACTAACCGAAACTTCACACCAAAACAGCACCAGGCGAAATGAATATTTGCACATTAATGACAGACAGCTGCCCTCGCTCCTTTAACCAGCTCTCTACCATCCCCTAAACATCAGATATCGGTGGTCACCAGTCTCTGTGACTAGTACATGTTTTAATATGACTCATATGAATACAACATATGAGTTGTAAATATGTTATAGATGTACGTCCTCAGTCTGGTCACTGATCCTCAACAGATGAAAATTAGCACGTTAGTTTGCGGTCCTTCACAGCGACGAAAACTAGCTAAACGGCACCTGGTTATCCATCAATACAGGCAGCCGTTAACGTACCGGTTTAGATAAACGTTATGGTTTATTAAATATCTGTTATTTGCGACCGAAATTGCGTTTCTTTTGGATAGGAAAACCCAACCAAGTGATGGATATCGATACTAGCCCGAGCCCTTGAGGAAAGTGCCGTGAGAACCCGCCCATGATAATGTGGCAGCCAATCGGAGTCGCGTCTGGTGACTTCGAGGTTTTCTATTGGCCTGACTCGCCTTGATAGACGCGAGATTAAGATTGGTAGAGGAGACAAATTGCCGCCAAGAATGTTTTGAGTCTGGGAGAGAACGCGGGGAAGAACAGCACATAACGCTAGCTCTGTTTGCTTATCTATTGCAAATGATCATTTCAAATAAAAAAAGTAATGAATGTATGTACCGAAATAATATTTCTGTTCTACATTTCAATCGAATGATAGAGTGAAAACTGTGAAACCGTTGGCCCTCGCCACTCCACAAAGCTTCACAATTCAGGAAAACATTAACATTAACGTTCTAAATTATGATGTTCTCCTAAAATGAAGAGCTTTAAAAATAATAATAATAATAATAAATACCGAGGATCCATCAACCTAGTGCAAAACTCCCGTCGGAGTTTTTTTTCTGATGAGCAACCGGATGTAGACCACATGACAACTTCCCGTCCCCACGTGTGTAGGAATGAGAGGCAAGACAGCTTTCGTCTTTCCACTAAAACTCCGAAAATCTTACACATTTATCTGAAGATTTACTTCACACTCCATAGAAATGGCTGACATTGTACAACAACGATTAGAGGACAGAATACCAGCTCTCGAACAGTTGGAAAGAGTCGGTTTGTTCACCAATAAAGAAGTCAAGTGAGTAACGTTATCAGTGCACGCACGAACACAACAGATACAAACAAGTGGTTATACTCTGAAACAAACAGATTCCTCAAGCAAGGCTTTTGTTTCAGGTCTATGTTGAAAAGATCTACTGCTCTTGAATACAAGCTGCACCGAACAGTTCAGAGTAAAGACGATTTTATTACATACATACAGGTCTGTATTGACAAAAGGCTGTTTAATATATTTTGTTTTGCACAAACATCATTCATACATAAATTGGTTATCTGGAACATGATAGGTTGGGCTTTGCATTTGCACATGACATTTCTAACCATCTACAAGGTCCAAATAGCTTATTATGAGACATGTAATTGGGTGTTTTTGTTTCTGTTCTTCATCAGTATGAAATAAACGTCCTAGAGCTTATCAAGAAGAGGAGAGCAGTGAGTAGAGCTTTGGTTTATTTATTTGTAAAATATAGTTTTGGTCATGGGTAATTCTGGCATTGTGTACTAGTGAATATATGCACCTCAACTGTACTGTTATGTTTACAGAGAATTGGTTACCATTTTAAACGGGAGGAAATTGAGTATCCCATCATTCATCGCATAAACCATGTTTTCAGAAGGGCTACAACAAAATGGCAGGTTGGTCAATATGAAAAAAACAAGAACCTTACTTTAGATGTTGTAATTTGAGGTTCAGTTTTTAACTGGCTTCAAATCAATGCTTTTTCTGTAGGAGGATGTGCAGCTCTGGCTTTCACAGGTTGCCTTTAATAAGAAATGGGTATGTGATTTTGTGATTAAACATTAATTAAAAACAAGCAAATCTGTGGTAAAGTGTCTGTGCTGTTTTATTATGGTTATGTCAATTATTTAATTCTGTTCTTGTCATTTTTTTTATCAGGGCACAAAGACTCAGCTCAGCAAGGTTTTGTCATCTATGTTAGCTATCCATCCTGACAAACCAGGTAAGCTTTTATTTCAAAAAGAAAATAATTTTAGTTGCTTTGCATAAAAGATTTATTGTTCTATATAGTATTCATTTACTTTAGAGGTGTAAGAAATTTCAAAGCAGATGGCCAGAAATATAGTAATATCATAATACTTGCAGCTTTGTGGATAATGGCTGCTAAGTGTGAGATGGAGGACAGAAACTCTTCAGAGAGCGCCCGACATCTCTTCCTCCGTGCCTTGCGCTTTCATCCTGAGAATAAGAAAGTCTATCAGGAGGTGAGGAGACTCTGGCATCTGTTTGTATTGGCCTGAAACAACCAATAAAACATTTAATTCTAAAAGGTCCATACTGATGTTCATATAATAAAACTGTTCATGTGTGTGCGCATAGTATTTCCGGATGGAGCTCATGCATGCTGAGAAACTGAGGAAACAGCAGCAGGAGTTGGAACAAGCTAAAATAGATGTGGTAGGGTTATAGGCGTATATCTGAGCCCTTTCTTAGGTAAATAAAATGCTAATTAAAAAGCAAGTAACAAAAGATGTTTTCTCAATTTAGGGCGAATATAATTTTTCTCCGGAAATCTTGAGTGGAAAACTTGCTGAGGTGGTGTACAGAGATGCTGCACAAAAAATTAAAGGTCAGCTAAATTTCCACAGAACCGTTTTAACTCAACAGGTTGTATTAGCTCAGTGCTGTACATTTATCCGTCTTGTCTTATCAGGGGCTGAATTCATCTTGTCGCTGCTACAGATTGCTGCCATCTTTGACTTCACAAAGGAGCTACAGGACACCATCCTGCAAGAGTACAGAGTCTTTTCCCCTTTTGCCTACCATTCTGAGATCAGACGATTTACGCAGACAAGTTTCTGCCTTTTTTTATGTTTAGTTGGTCACCTTAAAGGGATAGTTCACCCAAAAATGACAATTCTGTCATTTATTATTCACCCTCGTGTCGTTCCAAACCCGTAAGACCTTCGTTCATCTTCAGAACATAAATTAAGATATTTTTGATGAAATCCGAGAGCTTTCTGACCCTGCATAGACAGAAGCGGAACTGCACACATTCAAGGCCCAGAAAGGTAGTAAGGACATCGTTAAAATAGTCCATGTGACATCAGTGGTTCAACAGTAATTTTATGAAGCTACGAGAATACTTTTTGTGTGCAAAGAAAACAGAAATAATGAATTTATTCAACAATTCTTCTTTTCCGTGTCAGCATCTGCCGCCATTCACGAGAGTACCACAACACGTGTGTGGTGCTGCTGACATAAAACACGCATGCGCTGCGTGAGAGTTGTGGTACTCTCGTGAATGGGGGTGAGTAATTAAAGGGTTAGTTCATCCAAAAATGAAAATTAGCCCATAAATTACTCGCCCTCAAGTCATCCTAGGTGTATATGACTTTCTTCTTTCAGACGAATCCAGTCGGAGTTATATAAAAAATTGTCTTTGATCTTTTAAGCTGTTTCATGGGACTCAGCGGGTGTAGCATGCATCAGTCCAAAAGCACTTAATTAAAATGCGCCCATCCATAAAAAAAAAAGTGTCTCACATGGCTCGGGGGGGGGGGGGGGGGGGGGAACAAAGGCCTTCTGTAGCGAATCGATGCGTTTTTGTAAGAAATATCCATATTCAAAACGTGATAATCACTTTAATTAGGGCTGCACGATAAATCGCATGCGATATTTAATGCGCATCTTGTCAGAAAGCCGGTTCTGTAATCAGCAGTAAATCTCCATCACGTGCGTGCTTTCACATTGAGCAGCATTAACTACACAGAGCCGTTGTACATTTAAAAAAGACAATTTGTAATATAACCCCGACTGGATTAGTCTGAAAGAAGAAAGTCGCATACACCTAGGATGACTTGAGGGTGAGTAATTAAATAAGAAAATTTTTTGGTGAACTAACCCTTTAATGACAATTTTCATTTCTAGGTGAACTATCCCTTTAATTAGAGGTTGACTGATTTATTATTTTTGCTGAATAAAAATGCTGTAGGAGCTATTGTAAATGAACAAATTAACGCTGAAACTAGTATTGGGGAAAATCCATTTACAGGAAGTCCTGAAAAGGTGATGTTTAAATATGTTTGTGTTCAGACTGCAGAGTCAGTATGTCGATGACTGCATGATGTGGGATTTCATGGCTAAGCGTGAGCTGGATGCTGCTGGGGCTCCAGAGCTCCAGTCTGCGAAAGGAAGAGCTTCTGATACAGACCGCAGAGAAGAACGCTGCTGTGTCGTTTATGAAGAGGCTCTAAAGAGCCTTAATACAGGTATCATGATGTAACACTAGGATTCGGTGGTGGAATATGATTGGATTCTCATGGTTCTAGCTGTATGTAATTTGCCTACATATGTGTAATTTATTTTTGTAGAGGCCATGTGGACATGTTATGTCACATTCTGTCTTGAGAGATATAAGCGGAAGACAAATGTCAATGAACTCAAGGAAAAGGTAATAAACCTGTTTTTTTTTATTTGGGTGTTGCAGTGTTCATGATAATCTTGATCAGAATAACATAGACTTGCTGTATTTGGGAAGTTTGATTTATTATATTAAACCATATTTACTTTTGTTTTGTTTTTTTAATCTAAGTGAGATTGACACGTATTCTGTGCCTGTTCACTTTTTCAGAGAAAGGAACGATTACTCCGAGTCTTACAGAGTGCTCATGATGCCAAGCTTTTGCAAGAGTCATTCTACAAGAACTGGGTAATGTTCACTCTTAACATTGGAATCTCACTGCAAAACCTCCTGCTTACACACCTTATCCAGCACTTGGTTAAAATGGTGCTGCAGGTATAATGTAGGCCACTTTCTATCTCCTCAAAAAACAGCTACAGGTCCTGCTGTCGTCAGGGGATACAGTATCTGCTACCCAGATCGCCATTACAGCCACCCAGTGCTTCAGCCAATCATTTGAGATGTGGAGCTTCAGCCTCCAGACATTGGTCCAGCTGGAGAGCACAGAGGCGGGACATCTATTCCAAGAAGCCCTGAAACACGTGAATCCCAAGGTAGCGGTTGTACCACAGCTGCCTCTAAGTGGGACATCTTCTAACAGCAGATTTGCCCTAATTAGTCCACTTGAACAAATGAACTACCTCTGAATGCTTTTCTTAAAAACGTTTTTTTTTATATATATATAATAATTGGATAACATTACTATAGTGATAGCGACTTAACATTGCTTTTAAGATATACAGTTTATCAGTAAATGCATTCCCTGAGAATTGAACTCCAGACCTTGGTGTTGCTAACATCATGCTCTACTGCTTGAGCTACAGGAATTCCTACATATAATTGTAGTTAAGTGACAAGTCATCCTCTGCTACTCTAACTCTACTCTAGCTCTTTCGTAAACCAGCTAGTGAAAAATAGCCATGTTTGCGGGATTATGAAGCCTGTAGTTACATAACCCTGCATAGAGGCCATTATCCAAGCACATGGGAACATAATGCTATAGAGTGATATCCGCATGCACAATTATCCTGTTTCATTTCTCAGTCGTCCTCTATGTTTGTGTTTTTTCCCCCCAAACAATATGGTTCTGTCAGTTTCTTTCAAAATTAGAGATATTAAGGGAGAAAAGTGAGGGAACCCATTACTAATGAAATGTAATATAATATGATGAGGTCCAGAAAATCCTTGTAGCAGTAGTGCAAATGCTCTTATTTTCATGAATTATATTATAAGAAGTTTGAACCCAATGATATATTTAATAATCAGTCTATAATATGTTCTACAGGAAAGTCTGCCATTATGGCAGCTGCAGGCTGATTGGTGCATGACCTCACAAAGACCTGAGGACACGGAGACCTTTTTTCAGGTGGGACATGACTTTTTTTTTTATAGTCCTGATTCCATGTTTAGTTTGATTACATAAGTTGTAATTCTAATGTAGTCCACAGTGTTAATGTATATAATGTGATAAGAATTGCTCCTGTACTTGCAGAAAGGGCTTCTGTCCCTAGTACCTGCAGTGTCATCTGCCATGAAGGAAAAATACCTTGAATGGTCCTATAAAACTGGTGGTTACAAAAGGGCTAGAAAAACGTTCACAAGGTACACATCAAATACAGCTGTGCTCTATGGTTCTCTTTCTTTCTGTGTGTATATACAGTGGGTCCTAAAAAAGGCTGAGGCCACTAGTAAAAATATGTATTTTGCGTTGTTCTAATTTAAAAGTTGTTTAAATTCCAAATCCTGAAATGTTATTTTCAGTTTTAATTTTAAATACTAGTTTTTCAATGTGGTTTTAGACTTTCGGGACTCCACTGTTTATCTAGAAATTAGGCATAAGCAATTTAAAAACAACCTCTTCTCTTGGATTTCAGCTTGCATGAACACAGACCCTTCACTAAGGCATTCTTCATGAAGATGATTGAGATTGAGAAAGAGCAGGTAAAGGTGATGTAACACCTGTCAGGTGTCTAAAATATCTAGTAACCAGCAGACATGTGTATGAACACCATACAATGTATTACTGATTTGTATTATTCTCCCAGGAGACACCAAAGATGAGTAACCTGAGAGACTACTACGAGCGCGCGCTTCGTGAGTTCGGTTGCTCAGATGAAGGTGAGTGTGATTCAGTGCTTTTAGCCTTTGAAGAGGCAACTCTCTTTCATACTTTGAGTAGTATATTTCACTGATCAACCAAAATAATTTGCTGTTTTAGATCTCTGGATGGACTACATCAAGGAAGAGTTGGGAAGGCACGGAAACCCAGAGAACTGTGGGAAGCTCCACTGGAGGGCTGTTAAGACCCTGGAGGGCGAAAGTGTTGAGCGTTTTACCACGCAGTACACACTTCTGCAGACCGGGCACGTGTAAAACCAGCATAAATCTTCAGTGTGTTTTCTGTATTGTTCAAATATGGACCACAAATTGGCTTCAGTGATTTCTCTTTGAAAAGCCCAATTCCTGTGTTGCAGACTGTAAAGGGGAAAAATTAAGTTCATTTCCTGATCCTTCTGAATTTTTTCAAACATGGTGATGCATAGACATTTGTGCTTTTCTGTTGTTCCAGTAATAAACATTTTATGATGACATGAAATTGTCTTAATGTTAAAGAAATGCTTTACACTGTATTTTAATAGATCCTGACTTGCACCAGCACACTAAATAAAACAAAAGTTCAATGTAAACATGTAACCGTAGAGAAGTGCTGAAGTAGGTAGCATCAATACAAAGTCAGAATACTCTTGACTTTTCTTTAGCATTATAAAGCTAGACATTCATTTTGCTATCACAGAACAGGTGTTATTTATTTTTTGCCCCAGGAAAAAAAGTTTCTAAGGAAACATGGTAAAAGTAAAAATTCTAACCTATAAATCACAATGATGCGTTAACCGATGTCACATTTTTAACATGAAATAAAAGTTAAAAGTTTGACACTTCCATATAGTAATAGTTAATACACTGATAACATTGTAAAGTTAACTTCATCAGATATCTTTAGTGATTAAGGACACTTCAAGTTCTCTATCATGTTGTAAAAACAAGAATTTAATCGCAGTCATTGATGCCTTTCATTAACCATGGAGTTAAGAAATAAGCTGTATGAGATGTCATAGGTTAACAATAAATAAATTACATTATGCTTAGTCATTGGCAACTTGAATGTTTTGTTAGAAGTAACTAAGACACACAAGCTGACTCCACTGACAATAGCAGCAAACGGGTTGAAAAGCCTGCTGATCCAGTGGATGTTTTGTGTTTGTTCGGGGGCATGTAGCATCTCTGAATCCTTTCGTCTGTGGTAGCCATATTTTTAATTAAGAGACACGCTTATTTTGGTTTACCAGATTACACTGAATCACATCAACTCTGATAATACAGTAGGGAAATGTCAACAGAATTAGAAACTAATAAAGTTTAGTAACCAATTAGGTGAAAGTCAGGCATGTTAAAATTCCTTTAAAATGAACTGAACATTGCTTGACATCAACATGGTTCCAGAATTTCCTCTGACGTCACTGATGTAGTCTTGCACACAAAAAATGGCTGAAATTTTGGGTCAGTGCTTCCTTAGCAGAATGTAGGTGAAGAGGGCCACAAGTCCAGCAGACAGCAGGCCAATGACACACTGGTGGATGGTTATAGCACTCTCCAGTGAGTGAATGCGTTCTTCCATGGCAGTGGTGTGAATGTAGTCATAGATTGAGGCCCCGATGCTCCACACCACCCAGACTGCATCCACCAACGCCTTCATTGTGGGAGACACCATTCAGTGTGTGGCTGCCCCACAGTGTGGGATCCTCACAGCAGCCCTCACTCACTCCACCCCCACTATGGGACAGAGAATAGAATTGGTACAGCATGCCAAAAGCCTGAGGAGCAAATAGTATTGACAGAAGACAGTAAAAGCTTGACCAGCATGACCTTTTGTTATTTTTCTGTTTAATTATATTAGAAAACACCTGGGGGCATGGTCAAATTAAAATACACTCTCAAACTAAAGTAGTAACACTGTCCGGGTATAATGTACATACTTTATACATTTAATGTTCTATGCACCCTCTATTGCAATATTTCTTAATATAATATCTTGTTTGGTTCTATTCTGCAGCATGTTAAAAGGATAGTTCTCCAAAAAATGACATTTCTGTTATCATTTAGTCACCGTCAAGATGTTCTGAAACATTTTCTTTCTTCTGCAGAACATAGAAGACATAGAAATGTCTCAGTATTTATGTATGCATTAATTCATTAAGTTTATTATTATTATTATTATTATTGTGTCCATACACTGGAAGTCAATGGCCACCAAACTTTTTGGTCACCAACATTCTTCTAAATATCTTCTTTTGTGTTCCACAATAGAAAACATGTCATACAGGTGTGGAACAATGACAAAATTATTGAAACCTATGTTCTTCTCGGCCACCGTACAATAGTGACATTTTTTGTTACTGCATTGACCAGTCGGTCTGCCCACCTGACAGAACGAGCCCAGATACAACTCACAGCCCCTTATGTTTACATGTGTAATATAAGCATGACATCCGTCACAACAACAGCAACAGTGTGACATTAATTGCACAATTAGTTAGTTAGCACAATGCAAAAGCCTGTGCCACTGCCGACTCAATCATCGAGTTAAAAAGGCCACGAGGAACTGTACAACAACTTTGCACTGATTTACAGGCCATTACTGCTCAGCTCACTAGGCCCATCATATGGATAAAAGCATCATCCGTGCTGAATAAAATGCACTGTGTGTGAGTTAGTATCAGACGGTTTTTGAAAGAAGCAAGATCACAGCATTTAGGGAATGATGAGAGAGAGGCGTCAGAGATGAAAACAATCTTCAGCTGACATCCCTTCTCGCGCAAACAGCGTGATGAACAATGATGGACACTCACCAAAGGATCGCCGATGTTAGCTGGACAACGAATGCAATGTGGATGATCATTCCTACAGTTGAATATTTTTTGTGAAAATATACCGGGCCGTATGACAGAAATCCTCGACCCTCCGCCGCGAGCCCGAAGCGGCTGCCGTGATGACGACATTGCAAAGGGCGTGTCTTCCATTGAGAAGCAATGTCAGTTTTTATACCACCTTTTTCTTCTTTTCAACCGCTATAGTTAAATAACGAGGAGAATAACAACGTGCAGTAAACAAGTCAGACTATTCCAAAGAAGGGAGGTAAGAAAAAAAAAAAGATTGTACCATGGTGGACAAAAGAATGTGATCAAGCAATTAAATCTAAGGAATGAATGCTATAGTTTTATTTTTCAGTTCCTTAAAATAACTAATTTGTGGGAAAGAATTTAAAAAAAAGAAAAAAAAGAAGGAAAATTGGGAAGGAAGTAAGTCAATTTTTGATCCACACTCCATTCCAGTTGGTGGCGGAAATACACCATTTTGTTGTTTGTCAACCGCCAATAAAATTTCAAGAAGAAGAAGAAGAAGAAGAAGAACGTGCAGTAAACGGTAAAACTGTTTGCACTACAACCCAGTGTGTTCATAATTTCAGCTAATTCATTAAAATAATATGATAAGACACACCAACTTTCAATATCAAGCAGCAAAACGAACTGTTTTGTTCAGCTAAAAATAGCTGGACGGAGTGGACGCAGATGAAACCGGAAGCCATACCCATATATTTTCCAAATGGCCGCGCCCATTTTTACGACAAGAAAAAGGTGGTATACTTGTGAACAAAACGACAAATCTCTTTAATATAATCTGGGGAACACATCAACAACAGAGAACACGAAAAAAAATATTTGCAAACACAATATTGGTATTTAATTTGGCTTTTAAAATGTGTTTGTTCATATGCTTTTATGTTCTTTTTGTTTTTTGTTCTATATAGGCCCGTAATACTTTACCTATACAACTACAGTCGTGGAAAAAAGTAGAACAATACCGATATTTACGAATGGTAACTTGTCATATTAATGTGTCACCACAGGGGGCCGCTCCACGCTGCAATGAGAGCCTTTAGAATGAATCCCAGATAAGTGAAGAAAAAATCATACATTTACAGTCTGTTGCCTAATGTAAGCATACTTTCAGTTTTCAACAGAGGCCTATAAAAACAGAAATACATTTTAATTTAGTTACACAGACATTAAATGACACTTAACAGACTTTAGAGGCGACATAAATGGAATAATAATGGCTTATTTGAATTATATATTAAGTAAAAGCACTAAACAAAACGTGCTGATATATTTAATTCATTGTTTTAATTTTTATAAAATCCCACTAAGTCAGTAAGTGTTTTGATACCACATAAAGGACATGGTTTATTATGGCAGGACCCGTGCATTTATCATCGGTTCTACATGAGGATCTTGAAATAGCCTGGCTATGCAGTCACATCAACGATCCTATTTTGGGAGGTCCCGGGCGCGGACACACACGTCCTGAAGTATTGGCTTATGAATGTTAATTGCGTCGAGTGACGTCTACCCGGTAGGTCAACCCATCAGGCGGTTTAACCTGTTTTTATACAGTCTATGGGTTTAACTAAAGATTAAAAATGAATTAGGGTTCGTCAATGGACACTTCTGGAGGGTTACTAAACAACGTCAGCCTGACTTAATTAATATTCATAAGCGAAGCCTTCACCATAGTAGTTTTCTGATTCTAGTCCCAGACACAATTAATTTCGCATGTGGTCGAAGGAACCAGTCGGTGGCGCTTCAGCGCAACATGTACAAATATGATATGTCTACAACAGCCAGATGGATAATTCATTAATAACGAGCACATGGGGTCGCTCTGGCTAAAACAGCATAACGTCACATGGAGAATTTCAAAAGGCTTGCGCATTAACGAGGCTCATTGTTCCACCGCGTAATATTGACTTTTTCCCTTCGTCCACTTTTGCGCAAAGGGAGAGTGTTGTAAGCGGTCCCTGTGGATATACCGTGTCTTCATGAGGAGTTGAGCGCAAATAAGCTTAATTAATATTCATAAGCGAAGCCTTCACCATAGTAGTTTTCTGATTCTAGTCCCAGACACAATTCATTTCGCATGTGGTCGAAGGAACCAGTCGGTGGCGCTTCAGCGCAACATGTACAAATATGATATGTCTACAACAGCCAGATGGATAATTCATTAATAACGAGCACATGGGGTCGCTCTGGCTAAAACAGCATAACGTCACATGGAGAATTTCAAAAGGCTTGCGCATTAACGAGGCTCATTGTTCCACCGCGTAATATTGACTTTTTCCCTTCGTCCACTTTTGCGCAAAGGGAGAGTGTTGTAAGCGGTCCCTGTGGATATACCGTGTCTTCATGAGGAGTTGAGCGCAAATAAGGGGGCGGGTGATGATAATGTGTGAAGAGTGGCAGCAACTTCTCACTGCACGGCAACATTTTCCGTTCTTCTTCAGGCGATATGCCCATTCTTTCTAAAGAAGCTCCAAGGAGGAAGGCTGCTGGACATGGTGAAAATGACAGGTAAAAAGTGAGACCCTGGTGGTTGGATAGGCTCGCGCGCTCTTCACCGGACGCGTCGTGTCGTTATTTCTCATGTTATAGGCGCTGGGATG